TACTGTTTTATTGCTTTCTTGCTCCAATTTACGACAGAGCCAATATTCTTGCAGAATGGACCAAGATGTCCCAAAGTCAACACTATTAACCATTCAAACTGTAAAAATGGTGTGAGAAGATGCCTTCAAGTGTCAACTCCTCTTGGCAAAATCTTGCAGAATTCCTTGGTGTAATGGGTTGAACTGTGTACCCCCCAGATGTATGTTATAAATCCTAACCTCCATTGGGCCTGTGGTTGGAGTCCCATTTGGGCATGGGTGGTCTCTGAGACGCAGGTCCAAAGACACGATTAGTGTAGGGTGTGTCTTGAGTTCATCGCTTTTGAGATAAAAAGGAGATTGCACAAGCAAGGGGAAGAAGCCGAGATGTGGGCAGAGAGCTCTCGGGCCACATGACGTCTACCCAGGAGCTGAAGGTCAAGGAGAAAAGGACCTTCTGCCAGAGTAAGCCTCCCCTAGAGCAACACCCTCAGTAACCTCCAGGACCGGGACTGTCAAATCTGTGTGCGGGAGCCACCCCTTTGGGGACTTTGGTTGCAGTAGCATTCGATGGTGAAGCCTTTGAGGGCACAGGAGCCGTCATCTGCGATTCCCGGCGCGGACATGGGAACATTGGACATTGACTAAGAAGAGCGAGGGACCGATCCATTTCAATTGTGGTGCTGGTGAAGAACACGGAGTAGACCCGTGGACTGCCAGAAGGACAACGCTGTCTGGGAAGAAGGACAGACAGAATGCTCCTTAGAGGCAACCTCCTCTCTCATACTTTCGACATGTTGTCAGGAGAGACCAGTCCCAGGAGGACAACACCTGGTACAGTGGCGGGACAGTGAAAAACAGGTAGGCCGTCCATGAGAAGGATGGACACAGAGGCTGCGGCCCTGGGCTTAAAGGTTAAGAACAACTTTGAGGACGGCATAGGACCGGGTCTTGTTACATTGTACACAGCCAGGGTCACCGATAGTCAGAACTGACCAGGCAGCAGCTCACAGCAACATCAACATGCACCGCCGAACCGTGGCACGAGCAACAGGGCAAGAGTCTCGAAGGCCAACTCTCCCTCTGACATGCTGGGGAGGTTCAGAAAGACTCCAAACGACCGAACCTTCTTTTCACTCCATGCTTGAGAGACAGCACCCTGCCCCCACCCCACCCCCACCACAGGCAGAGGTCAAAGGACCACCCCCACCCCCACCCCCTCTGGAATGGCATTGAGACAAGACTACCATTAGAAAAGAGCAGTGGATCCAGGGCGGATGATCCCTTCAGGACCAGTGGTGTGAGTGGCGATACTGGGAGGATGGAGGGAGAGTGGGTTGGAAAGAGGGAACGGATTACAAGGAACTATATGTGACCTTCTCCCTGGGGGACGGACAACCGAAAAGTGGGTGAAGGGAGACGTTGTACAGGGCAAGATATGACAAAATAATAATTTATAAATTATCAAGGATTCATGAGGGAGGGGGGAGGGGGAGGGAGAAAAAATGAGGACCTGATACGGGGGCTTAAGTGGAGAGCAAATGCTTTGCGAATGACGAGGGCAATGAATGTACAAAACAATTGATGTATGTATGGATTGTGATAAGAGTCCTATGAGCCCCTAATAAAACAATAAAAACAAACAAACAATTATGAGAGGCTAATCAGACAGAGAGAGTAAAGAGGGTACTGTGAGACCTCTAGGCCAGGACTTGAGGTGCAGGGAAGCAGAGGTTTGAGGACTGGGGAAAGGGAGGGGTTTTGTTTATCTGCAGTGTATATAAACCAGACTCCTCAGTGCCATAAACATGCCACCAAGGCTTTGTACATGGGTCGCTCTGACTCCAGAGCTCCTCCTGGGCCTCTGGCCAGAGGATCTGAGATATTTTCTGGTCAGCCAGAGATGCTGGTTAAAATATGAATGGCTCGCCACTGGAGATTCCCTTGCAGAGAGGTCTCGGGGAGGAGATGAGCCAGACAGGGTGCAATGTAGCAATGATGAAAAATACAACTTTCCTCTAGTTCCTAAATGCTTCCCCGCCCCACAACTGTCATGATCCGAATTCTACCTTGCAAGTCTGGCTAGACCAGAGGATGTACACTGGTACAGATAGGAACTGAAAATCCAAGGAATCCAGGGCGGATGATCCCTTCAGGACCAGTGGTGTGAGTGGTGATACTGGGAGGTTAGAGGGGGAGTGGGTTGGAAAGAGGGAACCGATTACAAGGATCTATATGTGACCTCCTCCATGGGGGACAGCCAACAGAGAAGTGGGTGAAGGGAGATGTTATACAGGGCAAGATATGACAAAATAATAACTTGTAAATTATCAAGAGCTCATAAGGGAGGTGGGGGAGCGGGGAGGGAGGGGAAAAATGAGGACCTGATGCCAGGGGCTTAGGTGGAGAGCAAATGTTTTGAGAATGATGAGGGCAATGAATGTACAAATGTGCTTTACACAATTGATGTATGTATGGATTGTGATGAGTCGTATGAGCCCCTAATAAAATGATTTTAAAAAAAAGAGCAGAGTGATTCCGTTGTTAAGGAAGCGATGGCCGCTGCATCCTTACTGGCCTTACTAATCCAAGCATCTCTAAGAACATCGTCTGCTTTAGGACAGAAGATCCACAGTCGGTTCCAACCTCTAGGAACTCGACTGACGACAAAATACTGCCCCGTCCCGCACCTTCCTCCAGGTGTTCTTATGTTTGGGCCCATCGATGCAGCCACTGTGTCCATCCACCTCGGCCCCGCTGCTTTTCCACGAGCCACGGGTGGGGAGCGGCTGGCTGCCTGCTGATGGCCCCGGAGCCTCATCGTCCTGGGGCAGGCGTTGCTGTGTTGTGAATTACATTCACAATGGACATTCTACTCTGAACAGGTGGTTCAGCAGAATGATCGCCCCCTAGACAAGACATCCGGGTTCCATTCTTGACCAGCACCACTCATTTGCAACTATACCACACGTCAGTCAGGGGAGGCTTGCTTGTTTCTGCGATGCTGGACAGATTTCAGCAGCGCTTCTAGGGGAGGACTAACTAGGAAGAAAGGTCTGGTGATCCACTTCCAAAAATCAGCCAATAAAAAGCCACACTCTGGATCACAATGGTCCTATTGGCCTGATCCTGGGGATGGCCCAGGACTAGGGAGCATGTCCTCCCACTGAGCAGGGGGGTCAGCTTGAGTTGGGGGCTGACTGACAACAACAAACAACCACAAACCACCTTGGGAAAACTGTCCGCCACCGTCTGTCTAATTGCAATTCCAGTTTCCCTTCTTCTTGAACGTCCCAGAATCCCTGGCACCTTTGCAAATCTTGATGTACCCTGCTCTTTCTGTGAGGAATCGATTTCCAACGGGGGTGGGGGAGACTCAGAAGAGTTCAGGCCAGTATGATGCTCTGCCACTAGCAGACCCAGCGGCACAACTCTGCGATGTGAACGAAAGTGCATCAAAGGTCCCCATCTCAGACACCACAGTTATCGGCCGCAGGCTAGGAAGATCTCGCAGAGCCTACAGAAAATGGCTATTTTCCCAAAGACGCGTTAGTCTATTGTGACTTTGAGCAGTGTGCTAAAGGGATAAGGAAGAGTGTATGAACACATCTTTATTTGAAAACAAAAACCACACTTCCTTAAATACCAAGAGCAGTAATTGTGATAGTTGGGTTTTGTGACAACTTGGCTGGGCCAGGATTCCCATCATGCTGATGAGAATTAAGACAGAGCTATATCCTTGGGTATGTGGCCTACTTCCGATATAAATGGACACGGTGGAAAAGTTCGCTTGCTTTTTGCTGATTTTGGATCCTACATGTGTCTCATTGACCTCCAGTTTACTGGACTTGAGCCAGTAGCCTGCTATATTGCCTGACGATTTTAGGAACTGTCAGCAGACTACCGATCTTGGACTCATTCGCCAGAAGCCTGTCATCTAACCTGATGGTCTTGGATTCATCATCTGCATCTATGTGAGTCGGGAGAAGCCTCCAGCCTGACAGCTGACCCATTGGCTCAGAGCTTGCCTGGTTGAGCCATTTCCTTGATATAAACCTCCCTGTATAGATACATACAGGCGTCACTGTTTTTGCTTCTCTAGAGAACCCAGCCTAAGACCATGATCAAATGCAAGCTATCCAACTGACAGAAATTATTTTCTTAGTTGTCTGTATACAAATGGACAGGAGCCGTTTTCCCCCAGTGACGCCAATGCCAGCAGTCTCTTCCCGGAACCCCTCTTTAGAAGAATGAGAGGGCCACACACCCAATCAGAGGGCCCATCGTGGTCCTGGCAGGTTCTTCACGCCACTGGTGGTAGGGAAGGTTAAGTGCTTGTGTTAGGCCGGCTTGTCTAGAGAAACAAGTGCAGTGACACTCACATATGTGTAAGAAAGAGCTTTGTGTCAAGAAGTGGTTATAGATCAAGAGGCCATCGCAGCCTAGTCCACGTCTAGTCCGTAAGTCCCTCTGCAGACTCATGCAGTTACATGCTAGTGTTGCCAAGGTGAGGCAGGGAGCAGGAGGGTCACAGGACAGTGGGTGAAGAGTGGCAAGGGTCCAAGGTCAGTAGGAACCAGGCAGGGTGTTGGCAGCTCTGAGTCGGGCAGCCCACATGGGGCCAGCCCGCCAGAGAGGCAGTGTTCCAGTAGGCAGGAAGGCCGAGGGGGCAGAGAGCGAGTGACAGTTCCCAGAGTCCCTCCCTCTCATACAAAAGCCCTCCCCCTCGCAAGGAGGAATCATTAAAGGACCCCTTGATTGACAGGTTCGACTCCATCCCTCTCCAGGGGTGTGTGGTTGGCATGAACTCATCCAGTGCTCCTGCAGTGCTCAGCTACTAACGGAACCTACCCCCAGGCGCAGCTCGAACCTGCCAGAGGTGCCTTGTACGCCAGGCCCGGAGACTGCTTCTGAGAGGTCACAGCCACAAAAACGCCTGGGGGCAGTTCTCCTGCACCCCTGCGGTGGCCCTGCGCCCGACGCCCCCTGGCAGCCACTTTACTGAAGAGGGAAGCCACCAGGAAACATAAAGGTGCATTTATTCGTGTCCATGCCATCTAAGTCTACTGAGGACAGTATCGGGACCAGAGAAAGGTCCAACTGGGACCTAACACAACATGAAAAACAAGTGAACTCTCGCTCCCTGGAGTCACAAGTCTTCCTTCAGAAGAACCGGGTGCTGGCAGAGCCAGCTTCCTCCCTGAGAAGCACGCGCCACGCTTCGCTGTCTCCCGCTCGCTCGCGTTCCCGTCTCTCCATTAAGGCCTGGGCAGGGTGAGGTGGTGGTGCAGTCTCCCCTGGGGAGGGCTAGGGGGTGGTGGTGCTGGGGAGGCTCTCCCCACCATCAGTCACCCGCCGGCTTTGTGCTGCTCTGCTGGGTCACCTGCCGCTGCCGCAGCTCCTCCAGGGTCTGCAGCAGGGCGGACTGCTCCAGCTCCAGCGCCAGGGTTGCCTGCTTCAGTTTGCTTTCGCTGGTCAGAAGCTTCTTCACCGTGGCCTCGAGGCTTTGGATCCTACCATTGGCCACCTGGCGGACAAAAGGAGAAATGAGAAGGGAACTGCCCAGTGCTAGCACCACAGGCTCCCGGGGGACATTCCACTGGCCAGCCGTGGGGGTCCGTGGGGGGCCACGTTGTGTAGAGCCAAGTCTAGGTGCTTCCACCCAGCTCTTCTGGGCCACAAAGGATGACTGCATTTCCCTACCCGCCCACAGCACCTCATACAGGACTAGCTGCCAGAGGCTGACACAAGCCAGTGTACCAGTATTTGCCCTCATTTGGGCGGGCGCAGTGGTTAAGCGCCCGCCTAGGACCTGAAAGGCCAGTGGTCTATAGTCACCAGCTACTCAGCTGGGGTCCTCCATAAGATGACAGCGTTGAAAACCCAAGGGGGCAGTTGGACAGGGTTGCTGTGAGTCAAACTCCAGAGCAGTGGGTATGGTCTTGTTGGTTTTTTTGCAGTAGTTTATTGTGTTCCATGGGCCTTTGGATGGCTTTCTCCAGTGTTGAACAGTAAGAAAAGAAACAGGACTCGGGTACACCCAAGAACTATACAGGTATGAACAGGGCAAAGCCGGAGAACAGCCAGCTTTGGCACGTTGTCATCTGTGAGCCTGAGAGCCCTGGCGGTGGAGCGGGCTATGCATCGGGCCATGAGCGTAATGTCCAAAGTTTAAAAGGACCAGCAGTCCTGTGGAAGAACAATGAGGAGGTCTACTTCTGTAAATAATGACGGTCTCGGGAACACACCTGGGCAGTCCTACCCTGTGCTGCAGGGTCACGTCACTATGGGTTGGCACCGGCTCGATGGCAGGGAGTTGGTCTTGTGGTTTGATGACAACTGTATCAAATGCCTAGTCCTGGAGAGCCCGTCAAACTTGTGAAAGGAAAAGATGTTTGGACCCATATGGACTTACACAGTCTGGCATGAGACAACAGGCAGGACATCTCTGACTCTACCGGGGGATAGTGCAACAGGTTTGCAGACACACTCGCACAGTGAGGGCCCACAATCCCCGCCAGCTGGGGCTCCTGCATCGCAGTGGCTTTCGGCTCCCAGCAGTGGGGACCCAGAACATTCTGGTGGATGCGCCCGAGTTGTAGTTCTGAGAGACACCTCCTGAAGACCAGAGTGTCCCGCGAGGAGAGCCCACTGCTGGGTCTGTAACTGGGCGATGCTTTTCTACAGGACGCCTTTCTTGAGGTGTGTGGCCACCTGAACAGTTTCTCACAACTCCCAGACTTCCCAAAAGGGCTTGAGTGTCATTCCACTGCTGTCTTGCTTGGTCACAAAAAAGCCACTTTGGCACTGCTGCTGCTATTAGATGGGATCCCATCAGGGTGCCCATCAAGAGAGTAACACGGGCCCTGGTCCTGCGCCACCCCCATGACCAATTAGCTGTGCATTGGGCACTGTCCTGGTGACCCATGGGGTTTCGTTAGCCTAGTAAAACAGACCTGGAATGGGGGCAATGCCTAGCTGAAGGAGTCAGATGCAAACAAGGGCCTGGTTAGAAACCTGCCCACCACGTTGTTGCCGGGACATGGCCTTTGCTTGGCACCCTCTGGAAAATGGGGAGCCAATAGTAATGCGAACGAGAAAGAAGAAAATGTTCTAAGACTGATGGTGGTGACGACTGTACAGCTCTTCGTGATGTGACTGAATTACTGAATTGCATGATATGTGAATTATATGCCAATGAAACTGTTGGGAGATGGGGGACGGACAACCGAAAAGTGGGTGAAGGGAGACGTCAGACAGGGCAAGATATAACAAAATAACAATTTATAAATTATCAAGGGCTCATGAGGGAGGGGGGAGCGTGGAGGGAGGGGAAAAATGAGGACCTAATGCCAGGGGCTTAAGTGGAGAGGAAATGTTCTGAGAATGATGAGGGCAATGAATGTACAAATGTGCTTTACACAATTGATGTATGTATGGATTGTGATGAGTTGTATGAGTCCCTAATAAAATGATTAAAAAAAATAAAATAAACGGTTAAAAAAAAAAAAGAAATATTAACTCTTTGAGCTAGGTGATGTCCACCAATGCTTTTGGCACCAATACAGCCAAAAGTTGACTGAGAACAAGATAGAGGTTCTCTTAAAATTGAAATACTGAACCATGTGGAATCCAAACTTCAGTAGGCATCTTATCAATAGAAATTATATGATCTTATTCTACCAGTCTTTAGACTTTAGACACTGTCTTCATTCATTGACATTGACTATATGCCCTTGACTGGTTCATCTTTTATCCATCTAAATCTCTGATGCATATGAATACTGTGACTTCTCTGGGACATCCTCCCTACAAACTTGTTGCAAAACTTGAATTATTTAGGAAAGTGTCTATTTAAGTTTTGTTAAAATTTGACATAATCCCTTATATCTCAAAATCATTTTCCCATGGCACAAAAAGCATCCTTTTTAAAGGTACTATTTATAAAGTAATGCAAGTGTACTACTGCATTAATTCTTGTCTGTAACCATTCACTGATCACAGAGACATTTATGAACACATTTTATTTAAATAAACCCCTGAAAGTCTGGACTATAAAAAAAAACTGTTGGGAGAAAAGAAATTTAAAAAAATGAAAAATGAAATGATCCTCAGGACCACACAGGCCACAGCAAGGCTTTTCCTCCTCCCGAGACTCCCCAAAGCCTGTCACAGTAAGCCGAGGCTTCCTGGAGAAACTGAGGACAGGAGTATTTTCAGCGAAAACAGTTTAATCTTGGGGGCAGTCAAAAGCAGCGAAATGTCGGGCTATGACTGGTAGTTAGGCCAGGGCAGAGGAGACACTCTTTGTGCCCCTTCAGTAAATACCGACTTAGGCCAATGAGGACAAATCCCTGCTGGGAGGACGGCGTTTTCGACAAGGGCTGACCTATCAGGCTCTCCACGGCTGGCCTGTCTCACGGAGCCAAGATGACATCGTCAGGGCAGCGGCTTTCTGGAGAAAGAGCCGCAGCTTAGCCAGAGACTAAGCAGCTTAGTCCAGGAACACAAAGATGGGCGTGTGCGTGTGTGTATGTGTGTGACATGTACTTTTCTCCACGGGAGCTAGATATCTATGACTCTATGTCTACATCTGAACAACCAGAAATAAAACCTACCCCAAAGACAATTCTCCACAATGACGCACGGCCGGTCCCTTGTCACATTCGGGGAGCCAGACGTGTGGCTGCTTTATGTCCCGGGCCTGACAAAGGGACTTGCTAAGCAGTCGTGGATTCTTTTCCATATGAGGGAATCGGGGCAGGGGGGGCTATCGGCTTACGTTGGGTGACGGAGGGCGGGGCGTGGGGTGGCAACACTGAGACTTGGCAAGCCTAGGTGCTCTGGGCCTCACTGCACCCTCTGTGTCGTCTGTCTACTTTTATCCATGGCAAGACGAGAGCTTCTGGGAAGACCTGGTCCCTCATCAACCGAATCTTTGTATTTGCACCGAGGACTCGCGAAGAGTGAGCAAACACCCTCTGGCCTATTCCGGAGATTCTGGGTCTCTCTGTCCCTCAGGGTGGCGGCTGCTTTCACCTGCAGGAGCCAAAGGCCCCAGTCCCTTGTCCGTCTCAAAGCATGACGGCCAGCATTCGGAAACCAGGGCCACGCCACCCTGAGCCCCAGTTCACTCTGGGCCCTTCCAGGAGGCTGTGTGGAGACAGACCCTCCCAGAGCCCTCCAGGACCACCTGAACGTACGCCAGAGTAATCCGTCTGCCTCTTACGGGTTGGTTAGACACCACCGATACCTTGATGCCTGGCAGACTTTGATCCCGACCCTGAAGCGAAAGGTCCTGCAGCCCGGGGAAAGCCCAGCCTGCCGTGGCTTTTGGTGAGTTAACGAACCACCCCACGCCTGTGCAGCGCGGGCAGCGGCACCAGCATGCCCTACCTGCAGCTGATCGAGCAGGTCAAGGTTCTGCTTGCGTAAGCTGCTGTTGGTTTTCTCCAATTTGTCCATCCTTTGGTTGTCGCTGAGAGGCGAGGAATCGATGAGCTCTTCCTGGAGCACGTGGTACTCGACTTCGTAAGCTTGTAGCTGTTTGGAGATGTCCATCTCAAACACCTGTGGCACACAGACACGTCAGCGGGAGCTGGCAAGTCCCACGCACACAGTCAGTTCATCAGCATCCACCGAGCACCGACTCTCGGCTCAGCACGATGCCCACCCCGGGGGACCAGAGAGACGGCATCTCTTGGCTGAGAGGGGACCAAAGCATGTGCGACATCTACAAATAATTCCAAGGCAGCAGTGAGTACAAGTTTTCCGGCCCCCGTCTCCCCAAAGCCCAAGCCTCCTGTTTAATAAGGCTTACTGACAAGCTAGGTTTAGCTGTTTTTCAGCACTTGATTCTTTTTGCTGAAGCCTCCAGAAGCCTTCATCCATCTACACGGGGTTAAGAGGAGAAAAGGTACCGTCGCCGGGTCAAAGTTTAAACAGAGTCCACTAGGGCTTTCAGAGCCATGAGACCAGCTCAGTCATTAAGTCCTAGGACGCCCTCCCTGCACACAGGATGTACAGAAATGGGCCTGGGCCCCCACGTCACCCACGGCCATGAGTGAACACAGACAGCAAGCCTCACACTGTCTCCCTTCCCTGAATACGAACAGCAATGAAAAAAAAACCACAAGTGTGACTCGCGAGTGCAAAAGTGATTTGAGTCGCTCCTGCTTGTCCTTTTGGGTGATCTGTGCGGGGTGGCGGAGGGCTCCGGGGACAGGTTACACTGCTGCTCACGGCCTGGCCTTTCTGTCCCAAGGAGATGAGCCTCCTGGCCCCAGAGTGCAGCCCCCACGTGCATCTGGAAGACTGGGCTTCCCCTTGTGCTGGCTTTGCTTAGGCAACCAGGCCAGGGCCACCGTTGGGGAACAACGTTCAGGCTTGTGTTTGCTGCCTTCGAGTCTGCTCCGACGCTCGGCGACCCTGTGCATGACAGGAACCTGACCATCGCTGGCATGCTTGCGCCCACGGTGGCAGCCTCTGTGTCAATCCCTTGCTTTGAGGGTCATCCTCCTGTTTGCTCCTCTTTTACTGAACCGAGCATGATGACCTTTTCCAGTGGCTGGTCCTCCCAGATGACAGGTCCAAAGCCTGTGAGCAACCCGGCCAACTGAAGTCACCTGTCTATTCACAATTCCTACCTATGGGGAGGTGGTGGTGGGGGCACGGTGGGCTAGGTGCAGCCTGCTACCCATGAGGCGGGCAGTTCACAGCCACCAGTTGCCAACGCCTTGGGAGAACGAGGAGGCTATCTGCTCCCAGGGGGCTCTAGAGTCGTGGAGACCCTACCCAGGGGCGCCATGAGTGGGCACTGACTTTATGGGCCTGGGTCTGTTTAGCCCCTGGGTGGCACAGAGGGTTAACATACTGGGCTGTGCCGAGGGAAAGACTGGAGGGTTGAATCCATTCAGCAGGTCCCTAGAAGGAAGGCCTGGCGATCACTTCCGACAAGACCATCCACTGAAAACCGCACCGGCAGACGTGGGGTGGGCCGGAGGGCGAGTGAGCAGGGGAGCATCCCATGGCCAGCAACTAGAAGCGCCTTCACCTCTCCTGGCTCTCTGCTTCTCTAAGAATGGCACAGCAACTTCAGAAACTGGGGCGTTCACAGGCACACTTCTCTGCCTGGTGAAGCAGGAATGAACCCAGTTTCATATTTTCAGTGTTGTGTCAACAAGCTCACGTATCCACTTTTTTTAAGCCACTGGAGTAACTCAAACATTCAAAACCAAACTCACCGCATGGAGTCGACGCCGACTCACAGTGACCCAGTATGGCAGGTCAGAACTGCCTCTCTGAGTTCTGGGGCCATCCCTCTTTTTTCATCATTTTATTGGGGGCTCGTACAGTTCTTATCACAATCCACCCATCCATCCATTGTGTCAAGCACATTTGTACATCTGTTGTCCTCATTTTCAAAATATCTTCTTTCTACTTGAGCCCTTGGTATCGATCAGCTCCTCATTTCCCCTCCCCCACGAGCCCTTCATCATTCATAAATTATTATCTTTTCGTGTCTTACATGGATCAATGTCTCCCTTCACCCACTTTTCTGTTGTCAGTCCCCCTGGAAGAGGGTTATATGTAGATCATTGCAATCGGTTCCCCCTTTCTCCCCCACCTTCCCTTTCCCCTCCCCCTCCTGGTATGGCTACTCTCATTATTGGTCCTGAGGGGTTTATCTGTCCTGGATTCCCTGTGTTTCCAGCTCTTATCTGTATCCATGCACATGCTCTGGTCTAGCCAGATTTGTAAGGTAGAATTGAGATAATGATAATAGAGGGCAGAAAGCATTAAAGAACTAGGGGAAAGTTGCATGTTTCATTGGGGCTACACTGCACCCTGAGCAGAAAGCCCTGTTATCTCGCGTGGTGCAGCCGGTGTTTCAAGCTGCTGTTAACCACAGCGCCCCGGGGCTCCCACTGAAGCCACAGAGTTACGTTGTGGGAAGCTCAAACAAAAAGGTAATGCTACCAATGCGATGTCCGGCATCTTGCATTTTCCTCCACCTGTGTTCTAGAGACACGCTTCCCGAGTGGTAAGCACAGCCACGCGTCTTCCTCCGTGGTAACTCCCTCGGCGTGGCGATGCGTTTTTCATAACCTAACTGCCAAGGCCCTTGCAGTCGCCCATCAACCCAGCATGCTCTGTTTGCCCAACCTGTCCGTGGGTGCACATCTAGTTAACTTCCAAGTTGTTGACGTGCACAATCATTCTTAAGGCTCCGTCTGGTTTCCCCCACCCCTCCACCTAGATGCTGGATTCTCTCCTATGGGATACGGTCCAAGAAGAGGGATTACTGAGTCGAAAGGGATGACTGTTTTCCTGGCTGGTGATACGTATCGCTGAATTGCTCCCACGTGGGAAGAATCTATGTCCAAGTCGGACCAGATGTGGGCATGTGCTTGCCACTGGATGGGGGCATAAAAGAACAGCCTTGATCAACCCAGTCGGTAAAGCACTGCATGTTATTTACATGGGAATTACTCAGGAAGCCAACTAGTTCCCCAGAGATTGGCTGACTAGCTGGGTCTCTCCAGTGAGCCGTCTGGTGGGCCTCCTGGCCCACCAGCTGCAGCCAGGCATGGGCTTTTCTCTCGCAGACCCCCTGGGCCGGCTCTGCCTGCTGCTGCCGCTGAGCCTGGCTGTCTATCCAGACAGTGACGAACTGTGTCCTTCCCTCCCTCTGCTCTCAGCCCCACCCTCTTCCCTTGGTCTCGGTGGCATTCCAGGGTGGGCCAGTGGGTGACATCTCCAGGTATCTACGAGAAGGGGGTGCGCTGTCTGTGGTCAAGTCAAAACAATAATAAAACCAACTCAACACTGGACTGCTTTTTATTATTACCCTGTGCCAGCAACTCTGAACCCCGCCAGCAGGGAGGGCTCCCCCCAGGGCAGAGGGTGGTAGCCTGGGCACTGCCAGGAGGCGGGAACCACTTGCACGCAGGGACCTCTTCAGAGGCTGGCTTCTATCCTCAGCGCTTCAGCACAACCAAGAACTGTGTGTTTTAAATAAAAGTCCACCTCAGGGTTCTACAAATTTTAAGTCCCTGGTGTAGGGGTGGGGTGGGTAGGGGAGAGCTTGATAAATGCAGATGTATCTATATAGGAGGTCCCCCGCCCCTCAAAAAAGATCCTGACCAATGTAGATTTGATGTAGGTCAGAAGCAAACACATGCCCCCGTCTCTCCCCCCAAAAACAACCCAGAGTGCCACCGAATCCCTCCTGCTGTGTCCTGGTGGGCTCAGGAGCCATGGTGAGAGGCTCCATGGGGATTTCTTGGTTGGGAGCATCTCAGGAGCAGGGCCCTGAGCCCTTTGAGCTGGGTGGGCTCCACCCACCAACCTTTAGCTTAGCTATTAAGTGCGCACTGCTGGCCCTCCCCAAGGGACCAGGAGCAGGCCCTGGACTCTGTTTCTAACGGGGTGGTGGTGGGGGGGTGTCTCCATTTGAGATGGTGAACTGAGCGTTAGGCTGCTGGGGACAGGCTGTTCGGCCCATTTGCCGAAGGAACTCTCTCCCCCGCTTCGACTGCTGGTCTTCCTTCAACTGAACCTCTGGCTTCCTGGTCAGGTGGCGCTCCAGAAGCCAGGAAACCACCAGCCTCCTTCCTGCACTCGCCTTTGTCCCACTCAGGAACATCAGAGTCTTGAGCCTGGCCCTGCCGGTAGGATGGGCTCCGGGGGTCATACAGGTTGTCTTGGTGGGCACAGGGCCCGCTCAGGACGCTGGCAGAAGCTTTACAAGCCCTTGCCCTTCTGCCTGGACTCTGCGGAGCTGTCTGCCCTAACCTGCCCGAGCCAGCACCCCAGAGCCTGCCCTCAGCTGCTTTCCCACCAGCTGTGGGGAGGGCGCTTGAGGAAACAGGCGGCTGTGGCTGGCCCAGAGGAGCCCTGGACACCCGCTTCCCGGCCCAGGCGGGTCTGCACTCCAGAAAGCACATCTGCGTTCTTCAAGTACCCTGAGGGCCTGCCTCATTTCTTCCCCGGCACCTTCAAGGGCTTGGGACTCGGGAGCTGCTGGATGTGGAAGGGGAGACCCCCTGGCGGGGAGGGGCAGAGAGAGGCGGAGGGAGGTGGTCCTGGCCAGGAGCACTGGGACATTGGTCCACATGGCAACGTGGGGCGGGAAAGAGGCTGAGGGCCGCCCAGTTCTCATCACGCCTGCTTCTCGGGGAGACTTGGGAAGAAGGAAAACCCGAGCGCCACAACATGGATTTTGGCTGCACAGCATCCCTCTCTCCCTTCCCCCACACCCCGCCTTCTCAGTGCCTCTTAAACTCTGAAAATGTCAGGCTCCACAGCCCCTCAGCGGCCCTAACACATGCGCTATAGAGGCTCATTAGGGAATAGATGAGGGTAAATGCCAGGAAGGGCAGAACAGCCTGGGGGTTAGGAACAAACTAATCAGTTGCCCCCACCCCCACCCCACCCCACCGATTGTAAGGCACGACACACGAGTGTGCCCCAGCCGAGCCACCGTGTTCCACAGGGCTCTGCATAGCTGCTATGGGAGGAGATTGCGGGCCAGTGAATTAGCCACTGATAGCCCTCAAAACTCCCTGTCCTCTCGGGGATGTGGGCACTAAGAAGTGACACCAGGTGCGGACAGCTGCCCATAGAACCTGGCAGAAATGGGGACCCGACAGTCAAAGCCATGGACACCCAGGGACGAGAGCCCGAGGTTTTAAACAGAGAGAAGACAGGTAAACATGGTCGCCATGTGTCCATGTGGCATCTCAGACAGCATGCGCATGTGCTCACGTACACACACACACACACACACACACACACACACACACACACACACACCGTGAGACTCTCTTCCCACACACACACACACACACACACACACACACACACACACACACACACACCGTGAGCCTCTTCCCCCACAGCCACACACAGACACAGACTGCTACATGCCTCCTCCGTGCCAGTCACACGATGAGATGCTGTTCAAGATGCACCGTGGCAGCAACCAGCTTCTGCTCAGAGGGAAACGCCCGTTTGCCCAGCCCAGGCCGCTGGCCACACGCAGCACAGGTCCTACCTGACTGATGGTCTTCTCCATCTGCACCAAGCCCAGGTTCGGTAGTGTGTTCTTGATGAAGTCAACTATGGTTTCCAGGTTCTCGTGCTGTAGGATCAAAGGCTTATGGCTTCCCAGCAGGCTTAGTGCCACTTTAAAGATGACCTCTGAACCCTGAAGAAAGATCATATCTGGGGGAACACAGAGATGCCCCAAGTTACGCTAAAGCTGTTTCTGAGGACATACTGCTGCGCATTCTCCCCACAGTCAAGGCCTGCGTGTGCCAGGCAGTTGAAAAGGAGGGGGCGGGGGGGGGGGGTGAGGTTGGCAAGCCTGACTCGTGGTCTGGCCTTCCCTTCTAGCATGAAACTTCAGTTCTGGCGGGAAGGCAGCGCTGCAAACAGTAACAGCGCACCATGCACACCGTCACTGCCTTAGAGGAGGCTTTTTGCTCGAGTGCTGTCAGGAGCCGGCCCGTCGGTCCTGACCTATCTGGGCCGGCCCGGTATGCAATGTAAGGAAACGCTGTTTCGCTCTAGAAGAACCAAACCCAAACGGGCTTCAACATTTTAAATGAGAAAGGAGACAAGATAGATGAGTCTATTCCCCCAGAATCCTCTGGGGCCTAAAGGCGTTTATGGGTAAAACAGAAAGATCTTGCGTGACAGGCGCAGCATCCGAAATTCAGACAGAATTTCATGGGAAGGGGCACCCGCTCCCTCTGTTTGGAAAGACCAGCTTTGCTAAGATCTCCGAGCCACCCCTGCAGAAGCATCTCATTACACGCGAGCATGCTGGAGTCTAGAGCGACAGTGGAGTGGGAAATGCTTTTCCCTTTGAGAAGTCAGCACTTCTCAAAGGGAAGTGGCCACTCGCAGTGAGCCTGTGCGGCCGAGCAGAACTGCCCCTGCGTTTCCCAGACAGTGAACTTTCCTCGGAGCGGATAGCCTCCTTTCTTCAAGGGAGATGGAGGAGTGGCTGTGGGTTCAAACCCCTGACCTTGTGGTTGGCTGCACCACTTGCAAGGCTTGCGAACAGGAGCCACTCTATGCTAATTTTACATGAGGGTGCAAGGGGGCGTGAGCAGCAGGCCAGGCCTTGATACCCACTCCAGCAGAGCCGTCTGGTTGGTCCAACCCACAGTAATCGCCCTACAAGGGAGGGCAGGAGCGCCTCCACGGGGTTTCTGAGACGGCACATCTTTCCAGGGCAGACCACCTCAACTTTTCCCCTCAGAGCAGCTGGTGGGTTTGAACCGCTGGCCTCGCTCTACCCACTGAGCCTCCAGGGCTCCTTCAAGCACTTGGGTGACTACCTAGCAAAGAGCCCTGGCAACACAGTGGCTACCCAATGGGCTGCTAACTGCCAGTTTGAAACCACCAGCTTCTCCTCGGGAGAAAGGCGAGGCTTTCTACTCCCGTCAAGAATTAGTCTCGGAAACCCACAGGGCAGTTCTACCCTGTGCTATGGGTCGCTGTGAGCTGGAATCGACTCCGTGGTAGTTGTGAGGCTGACTACCAGTTTCTTCCCCTTTGGGGGGCAGGATGATGGAAGAGGCAAAGGCATCAGAGACGCATCACATCTAAGAAGATCAGGAGAGCTGAGACAAGGCCTGTCCAGCACCCTGCAGCCCTGCTTCTGTACCTCTCCATGTCCAAGTCCACTTCCCTCCAGCCGAGGCTGATTCCCAGGGACCCGCCAGGAGTTTCTGAGAATACAGACCTTGTTGGGGGCAGACAGCCCCAGTTTCTGTCCTCAGAGTAGCACTGAACCACCGACCTTACGGTCAGCAGCCCAACACCTAGCCCACAGGACCACCAGGGCTCCTGCCAGGCCGACTCACCGCCAACCTATCTATCGCCTTCTAGTGGGCTCGGCCTCACAGCGGCCCTATGGGACACAGCAGAACTGCCCCTGTGCGCTTCTGAGGCTGTACAAACCCTCCTCTTTCTTCTGTGGATCGACCGGTAGGATCGAACAGCTAACCCTCTGGTTGGCAGCCCAGTGAGTAACCCTCAATGCCACCAAGGCTTCTGTAGTCTAAGGCAAAGGGTGTAGGCTCAAAGATACAAAAGGCCCGTGCCATGTCCTGGACAGGAATCTGAAGACAATGTGGTGTGGTCAGAGCTATGGCTGTGTGTGGGGAAGGTGCAGTGTGAGGTGGACAGGGAGGTGAGGCCAGGTCACCGTGGGCCGTCCACCATCGGCAGCTGTCTGCACACAGCAAATCCTGCCTGAATACCAGAGGGCCTCTTCATGCAAGATAGGCTCTACTGGGGGCGAGCCGAGAACCACTCCCCTTACAGATCTCACAGCAGGAACTCCACACCGCCTTGTTTCTGTTGAGGGAGAACCCAGGCCCACAGGCTTACGATGAAGCAGCCCCAGGCCCAGAGAGACCCTGGGCATGAACAGTGGGTATGGGGTGACACCACAAAGCTCCCGACCACCATGGAACCAGAAGGGCAATGTTCTGCTCTAAGGGACAGAGGTAAACACTAGGCAGGATGTTATTGCGAAGAACTTGAAAACTGTTGCCGTCATGTCTAGTCTGACTCACAGCAACCCTAAAACACAGAGGAGAGTGTCCCCCGCGAGGTTCAAAGCCAGTGAACCTTTAAAGAAGCAGACAGCTCCACCTTTCCCACCTAGAAGAGGGGAGGCTGGGAGTTTGCACCACCAGCCTTTCAGTTCACAGCCACGCACCACCAGGGCTCCTTATGAAGTAGCTACATGTGACTCCATCACTCAGCTCTAAGTGAAACAGAATATGCTGTCCACAGTGTGAACAGGGAGACCTGGTGGCGCAGTGGGTTAAGTACTGAGCTCTTGACTACAAGGTTGGCAGTTGGAACCCACCGGATGAAGCGGTTTGCTCCCATAATGATTCCCAGTCTTGGAATTCCCAAGGGCTGGTTCTCTGCTGCCCTAGAGGGCTACTCTGAGCAAGACCAGACTGGATGGCCGTGGGCGGGTGGGGACCGCTGAGTGGCCCATAACCAATCGGCCGAGGGCCTCAGCAACAAAAAGGGAGTGTTTTCGGCTACCAAGTTATAAATAGATGTGTTGTAAGAACTCTTTACTCTTCCCAGACTTCCTAGTCACATTTGCGTGAGCCAGCTCCTTAAAATAAACCGTGTGTGTGTGTGTGTGTGTGTGTGTGTGTGTGTGTGTGTGTGTGTGTGTGTAATGACAGCACATCACCGGGCCTGTTTTTCTCCAGACAACCCCAAGACACATAGTAAACAAACAGGAAAGAACCCGAGTTCCCAAAAGTACTCCTTTCATTGTGGAGTGCAAAACCAAGTTGTACAAGCACTGATTGGGAGGCGGGGGCTGCTAGGTTCCCACAATGCCAGGGAATGGCCCAGCCCCGGGGTCTCTGCACGGGAGGCGCTTTTGCTCTGGCAGGACAGGCGGAGACCCGGAGCCCACGTGGTCGCTGAGGTCAAGACTGAAGACGGGTGGGGGAGTCACCAACACATCAACAAGCGCTGACCTTTGGACCTCCAGCTGGCCACTCAGGCAAGGGTGAGGAGTCATGGGAGGAAAGCGGGGAGGGCATGAGAAGGAGGTTCAGGAAGAACAGCAGCCCAGCTGCCGGGAGGGAGAGCACGAAGGAGCCATCAGTCATGGGGACGCCCCTTCCCTCGGGGGCACAAACACCAAGTGCTGGGCTCATCACACCGCTGGCGGTTCGAACCCGCGCACAGGGGCCTTGGGGGGCTCTGTGACACAGTCCTCTCGGCGAGTTGGGTTTTGCTTCTTATCAGTCCCAAACCAGAGGCATGGAGGGAGAGGGCCCAGGGGGTGACGTGCCTGGGGCTGCCTGTCCAAGTGTTGTTTTTTTTTAAAAAGGTCTGCATCGGGGGACCCTTGTTTTGAGAAACTGGCGGAAATCCAGTATGGCTGGTGTGTGTGTGTGTGTGTGTGTGTGGGCGTGGGCATCTCGGTGGGCCCATCCACAAAGCTGGTCCCGAAGGTCACAAAACCCAGCCCTGACTGAACTCAGACGAAGGTCAGTTCTTGGACAAGCGACAGCCAGACAGCCAGCCAGACAGACAGCTAAGCAGAATCACATGACAAACGCTGTCTCCTTCGGTCAGTTCAGGAAGAAGACTCACCGAAGACTCTGGCCACAAAGCCCAGCGGGAACTGGGAGGCGAACACGGTCAGAAACCAGGGGGCGGCGTAGAGGCTGGGGCCGATCTCCTGCTCCTCCAGGTGCGTGTGGAGGTCGCGGTGGTAATCGTGCAGCAGTCTCGAGAGCTGGTACATCTGGATCTGCAGGGACAGTCCGCCGGTCAGGCTGAGAACGGAGTCAGCGGCTAGTGCCATGAAGCTACTGACCCAGCTCCTGAGGATGTGTGTGAATGACCACCAACTCTGCATTCAGCCGTTCAAACCACTCACCAGTCTCCTGCCCACCCCCACCCCACCCACATTCTCCCCAACCCCCTCCCCCATCTTCCTCTCCCTCGCGGGGCTCCGTCCTCCTTTTCCACCCAATAGTGTGCATTTTTAAGCAGCGTTTGGAACAGGAAGTCCACTCGGCTTGCTTGCGGTGTCCAGTGGGCTCAGCCACTGACTACGCGGCACGTGCCGTGACCCCCTGCCCCCCTCCCCTTGCATTGTCTCCCAAGTTAAGCGTCTGCCTTCTCTCACAGACTTCAAAGATCCTCTTGCAAACACGTGTTCTTAGCAAAAGTCTGGCCCTGGGGAATTAGTGCCAAGTGGGGTAGCCTGTCTGCTAAGAGTGAACTGTGGGAGTATTATGATGCTATTGCACATGCCCACTTACCGTCTATACTCAAGTACAAGCCAACCCAGATACCAGCCGAGGCACCTAATTTTACCACAGAAATGGCATTAAAAACGTGCTGGAAAACTCGACTTATACACGAGTATATACGGGACATAAGAAATTCCCCTGGGACTTTCTTAAGTTCAAGCAATAAGTGGGATCAGTGTGGCTTCTTTGGGTTGTAACAGAGAGAGACTAGGCAAGTCAAAAGAGATACTGGGCAAGTCAAACAGAGAGATACTGGGCAAGTCTAAAGCAGAAAACAAGTGCTTACGACGTGAGAGGGAGAGAGAGAATGACCTTTTCCAACTGAAGTTGAACTCCAGCTCCAGGGCTCCCCCACCCTCTTACAGGGAGTGTAAAGTTCCGGCTTGACCCATTAGTAGGCCACTGGAGATCCCCTTGCAGAGGGGTCTCGGGGAGGAGACGAGCCAGTCAGGGTGCGATGTAGCAACGATGAAAAATACAATTTTTCCTCTAGTTCCTAAATGTTTCCTCCCCACTCCCACTCTCATGACACGAATTCTACCTTGCAAGTCTGGCTAGACCAGAGGATGTACACTGGTGCAGATAGGAACTGAAAATCCAGGGAATCCAGGGCGGATGAGCCCTACAGGACCAGTGGTGTGAGTGGTGATACTGGGAGGGTAGAGGGAGAGTGGGTTGGAAAGAGGGAACCGATTACAAGGAACTATATGTGACCTCCTCCCTGGGGGACGGACAACTGAAAAGTGGGTGAAGGGAGACATGGGACAGGGCAAGATATGACAAAATACCCATTTATAAAGTATCAAGGGCTCATGAGGGAGGGGGAGTGGGGAGGGAGGGGAAAATGAGGACCTGATGCCGGGGGCTTAAGTGGAAAGGAAATGTTTTGAGAATGATGAGGCCAATGAATGTACAAATGCGCTTTACACAATTGACGTGTGTGTGGATTGTGATAAGAGTTGTATGAGCCCTTAATAAAATGATTAAAAAAAAAATTCTGGCTGGAAGCTTCTGCACCTCGCAGCAGCCCCACGATGGATGGGGTGCCAGGGCTCCCAGAGGCCCCAGACCCACCCCAAGCTCAGGAGAAGCAAGACCCTACTGAGATATGACCTGGTGGGTAGACTGCTCTCTGAAATGGAAGGACACCTGGGTCCTTTAGAGTCTCCTGTGGTGACGCTAAGTGAGCTAAAACTCACAGAGCCCCCTTTCTCTCTCCCGTGGCAGACGCCCCTACTGACGCGGGAGGGGGTGGAGTAGGATAGAACCTGACGCTGCGTGGGACCTGTTATTTGGGGCAGAACTCTTTCAGTGAAGGGGTGCTCCCTTTCAGGAGACTCTTCCTCACTGGGTTCATCTTCCCAGCTCAGGGAAAGACCCTGGGACTCTGAGAAATTCCTTAGCTCGATCGACCCTCTCCAAGGATCCGTGCAGCTCTGACCTCCTTGTGTCGTCTTGGTAAACGAATGAATGCATAAACACAAGCTCCAACAGGAAGAGCCACGTCCAGGAACATTCTGGAAGCGGGAAGGCGCTGAGCTCTCCCCACACCTCTGACCGGCAAGGCAGCAGCAGTGGGTGCCAGGAACATGCCTCCTTCTGTGGTTCTCTTCTGAAGGGACTGTTTATTCCACACACACTGTCCGGGTGCCCACTTCACATCCCAGCCACTGTCTCTGGGACCAGGGACACGGCTGGTTCTGAGAGAAGCCTGCTTCCTTCCTCTCCTGAAGCTTATGAGCCCAGTCATAAAATCACCAGGTGAATGGAATGCTATGGCCATGGAGATGACTCTGGCTCGTGGGGACCCTGCAGGTCAGAGCAGAACTGTCCCATACCGTTTCCAAGGCAGCAAATATTTATCTGTTTTGACAGGGGAATGCAGGATGTTTACCCACACAGATGATGTGCTTAGTGGGAACCTGCAAATTGTCCATGTGGTTCATTGTCACATATATATACATATGCACAAAATGAAGTGGGATATATAAATATAGATACATCCATTTATATATTCCATTCCCATTTTATTTTTTTAAGGTGGTAAATCTTTATGGAAGCAAGCTGCCACAGCATTCTTCTGGGGACCGTGTGGCAGCTTTGAACGGGTAAACCTTTGAGGTTGGCGGGGAATGTCTGTTCAACCGCTAGGTCGCCAGGGCTCCTAGAATGTGAAGGAGGAACCTGGAAAGGTCACTGTGGATGGAGAGTACGTGGTGCACAGGCGAGGACACAGGAGAAGACTGACAGAGGGCCGGGGCTGGAGGTGGGGTGGCCAGAGGGCTTCTCCCAGGATGTGACACTTCAGCCTAGCGAGCCCTGATGTCAGGGAGGTGGTTGAGTGAGGGAATGAGGCCCAGGGGCAGGGAGCGAGTATTGCTGGAGATGGAAGCAACCAGGTTGCAAAGGCTCTGATGCAGGAATTCCATCACCCAACATGGTTAAAGGGCTGGGCTGGGAACTGGAAGATCAAGGGTTCGAGTCCCCCCAGGAGGAACTTTGGAAGAGAGGTCTGACGATCTAGATGTGAAAAAACAGCCAATACCAGCCCCGTGGGGGACAGCTCTATTCTGATACTTGTGGGTTGCCAGGAGTCAGACCCAACCTGTTGGCAATGGGGGCGGCCCTGGAGGATGGGTAATGGGGTTGTTCATCAGTGTTCCTTGGGGGACCGTTTTGGTCCAAAAGGTGGAGGGTGGCGAGGCTCGGGAGCCAGACACGCCTGTTGGGCCCAGCTCTGCCGCTGTCCTGGTTGGGGGACATGACCTTTCTGAGCCTTGGTTTTCCCAGCTCCTAACGGAGTCAAAGGGTCGTGTTGTCTTCCCTGGTGACGGTGGGGTAGGCACGCGAACAAGCTCCTTAGGCAGAGCTGGAAAGGGGTCCCAGCCCCCCCCCCCATCTTTACCTGCAAGATAATCATGTCCGGCCGGTACTGCTTCCGCAGCCCCACGTCGAACATGAGGAACTTGAGCATTCTGAACGCCTCCTCCTCGCTCATGTGCAGCAGCAGGATGCCGGCCACGAAGCTGAGCCCCTGGCAGTACCCCACCTCCGGGTCCAGCAGCGAGTAGGCCTTCAGGATGTTGTACAGCGACAGCTGCCCGGCTCCCAGCTGGGCTGAGAAGTAGGGATGTGTCGGGAAGGTCCGCCCTGTGAAGACAGCACGCGTCAAAAGCCTGTGGGACCAGGACCAACCACTCGTCCTTGGAATCTGGATCCGGCTGTCCCGCAGCATCTGAACTCCACTCTGCTCTGCACACGCAGCCGGCGGGCTGCTCCTGGACTCGTGCCAGCCATTCGAAAAGCCAGCCACCACTCAGGTCTGCGCCAGGGGGTGCGTGTGCAGGGGAAAGAAGGGGCACCCTTTAGCCGTGTGCGTTTCTCAGTTTCCATAAACAATAACCGCTCTTTGAAACATAACCACCTTTCTCAAGAGGAACGCAACAGTTGGAATTTCTTTACCAAAAAACAGAACAAAAGCCCAAACCTACGGCCATCAAGTCGATTCTGCCTGACGGCAACCCTGTAAGCCAAAGGGAGCTGCTCCGGGTGCTTCTGAGGCGGTAAATCCTGTGCAGGAGCAGAGAGCCTCCTCTTTCTTGCTCAGGGCATCTCATGGATTCAAGCTGTGGACCTGGCGGTGAGCAGCCTGACTAGTTACCTATTACACAACAGGGGGGTTCCAGGTGCAGTGCAGTGGGTGACCAGTCGGGCTGCTCACTGCAAGGGCAGGAGTGCACCAGGGTGGCGGAGAGCAACCACTTGGCATGGCTCGCCCACGGTGTCTTTGTAACGGCCATGCCGTGGCTGTGGGGTCATTTTTAACAATTTGTCCTGCATCCCGCGGCGTTCTAAAAAAGTCCCGATTTTTGGAACGAATGCATAATAAGCTAAGGTATACGGGTTTCGGCTGCCATGTGGCTCTTTCGCCAGGATATGAGTTTGATCAATAGTGTCCCGCTTTTGCCCCGCTTTACCAATGTTAAAATCTGGTCACCTTAGTGTAAGGATGAGGGGTCTCAGAAGCAGGAGGAGCGGACAGCCCAGCACTGAGGTGGTGGAGGCACCACAGGCACTGACAATGCACCACCGAGACCAGAGGCTGTGGGGCACAGCAGCAGGCTGGCTTCCCGGCAGAGACCACTGGGACCCTGGGGCTGAGAGGCTGAGGACCAGAGAGGCACGCGGCTGCTGGCTGAGGGAAGCTTGGCTGTGGACCAAAGACCGCGTCTTTACTGTTTTCTGGCCTTGACTTGTGGTCATCTGTTAACTTCTACAAAGAAGCCCCCTCTCTCCCAAGTATGAGCTTCCACGCTATCTGTGAGTTTAATGCGGCCGTTGCGATAGACGACGGGAGAAACGCTTGATGTCGGAGTTGGGTAAAGCAGGAAGGCAGGTGGACGCATGTCTGACCTCTGCCTTGGGGCCATCACCCTTGGGCTGGTGGGGAGACGGGAGCCTCCTAAAGCCAGAAGAGGTGAGGTGTGGCTCCTGGGTCATGTCTTCAGCCAGCTGCATACATAATTCACATTTTCTAGTGAACTTAACCACCGATTCCAGTTGATTCAGACTCACAGAGAACCTTCCTATACAAAGTCCCCAAGTGTGAACATCTTGACGGGAGCAAGCCATCTCAATCTTCCTCCCTCGGAGCACCTGGTAAACTTGAAGGGTTCACCATGTGGTTAGCAGCCTAACACCTAGCAGCCACCTTTAAAAACGTAAAGGGAAACAAGTGAAAGGGACTTCAAGACAGTTGCTGAAGGAAGCGATGTGATCATTACTTTAGCATGCCAAGACATCACTGCCACTCCCATGTCAGCTCGTGGGTGGCTGTGATCGGGACATCTTTGTCACTCTTCTCTCAAACGCCAGCAGGGTCACCCAAAGTGAACAGGGGTCACCCAAAGTGAACAGGGGTCACCCAAAGTGAACAGGTTTCAGCGGAGCCACCAGACTAGGAACAGGCGAGGAGAAGGGAACCTGGCTCCCCACTTGGGAGGAAGGAGCCGCTGAAAGCTGGGCGCAGGGCTTCGTTTCATTCTGCTGTGCGTCCGGTTGCTAAGGGTCAGGGCCGACATGGGGGCGGGCGCGCAGCAACAGCAGCAGCACCGACACTACGTCATCCCGCATGCACTTGACTGCACGTTTCGATTCGCAGTGGCCACAACTCACAGCACCCTTGTGTGGCTATGTAGTCACTTGTGTTAGTCTGGGTAGACCAGAGAAACAAATCCACAGAAACTCCTGTGTATATAAGAGAGAATTTTATATAAAGGTTAAGTGTACATTAAGAAAGCATCCCGACCTAGTGCTGTCCAAGCCCTAAGTCCAACATTGGCTCATATGTCCAACACCGATCTACAAAGCCCTCCTCCATCTCACAAAACACACGCAATGACACCGACTACAGGAGGAAAGCCGAATCAGTGAGCATGTAAGCATCTCAGTGCTGGCAGGGGTCTCCACGCGGCTGCTCCAGCACCCAGGGCTGCATCAGGGTAGGTCCA